AGAGCGAGAGAGAGAGAGAGAGCGAGGGAATTCGTTTTCTCTCCTCTGTTTCTTAATTTGGATTTGGATGGGGACTCCCGAATTCCCAAATCTCGGCCACCATTGTTCTGTTTCTGATTGCAACCAGCTTGATTTTCTGCCCTTCACATGCGATCGTTGTCATCAGGTTTTTCAATTCTCTCTTTGCATTCTATTCCTTCTGCTCTGTTCTACGCATTATCTTCATTTGCGATTTTAAATGAATTCGCTTTACCTATGATTCACCTCAATTTTGGAGGAATTAATGCGTGTTTCCAAATGTAGTGGACCATGTCACCATGATGACACAAGTTTGGTAGCCTTAAAGTTGCCTTTGTTGGAAAATCATAGCTTTTGGATTTTACACCAATCCAAGTATCCAACGTTATAAATCATTACTTTTACTCCCCATTTAATATTTAGAAAATGTCTCACAATAAATGATACATTCATTGTGTAAAAATTTTAAATTGGGAAGGGAGTAATCTTTTATGAAATTTAAGTTCACAAATTAATTTTAGTTTTGATAAGTTAATATTGTTTTTTTTTATATTTTTTATCTATCAAAATTACATTAATAACACAAAATTTGAATTCAGGACATACTACTCCAACACACATTGCTATATTGAATCTGGTAGTTTATTTATTGGTATAAGTACTTATAAAATATTACTCGAATAAAGTTTATATTTTCCACCCCAAACAAATTAAAATCCAAAGTAAAATTAGGCTGGTATGGAATTATGGATTACTATTCTCCTTGGTTTCTATTTATGAACTCTTTGAGATTTAATTATGGTTTATTATAGTTTTTCCATTGTTAAATTTGTTGCAGGTACATTGCTTGGAGCACCGAGGTTACACTGAACACAAGTGCACAAAGCCCAACAAACAAGACGTGACAGTAGTCATATGCCCTCTTTGTGCCAAAGGAGTTCGCCTCATTCCAGACCAAGACCCAAACATAACATGGGACAATCACGTCAACGTTGAATGCGACCCATCAAATTACGAGAAAGTGACAAAGAAGAGAAAATGCCCCGCCCCAGGATGCAAAGAAGTTTTGGTATTCTCCAACACAATCAAGTGCAGGGACTGCTTGGAAGACCACTGTTTGAAGCACCGTTTTGGGCAAGATCACAAATGTTCAGGTCCCAAGAAGTTGGAGACGAGTTTTTCATTCATGGGTCTTTTGAATAGAAGTGGCAGAAACGAGGAACCAAAGGCTAATTTGGCTTCGAGTACTGCGTCATCAAGGTGGACTTCAAGCTTTCTCAACGTGGCTTCTAATATTCGTGCCTCAGCTGAAGCGAGCATGGCCAAATTGAGCGGTGAAATTAACCAAGCTTGGCATGCGGCTAGGGATGGTGTGGGACTGCAGGGCAGTGGTGGTGGGAATAAAATTGAATCAAATGATGATAAAGTGGAGCAGTGTCCTCAGTGTGCTGCAAAGTTTTCTTCTGTGACTGGTTTAGTGGATCATGTGCAGAAGGTTCATGAAAAGAATGGGAATGGGGTTAAGGTTTTGTAGACCCGGTGTCCTTTGTGGAGCATGTTGGTGGTAGATCTCGAGCTTAGGAGATTGCTTCTTCTTTTTTTAATGGGTTTCTTTTTATTCATGTAATGTGCACGTCGTTTTGTCCTATTTTTTGACAAAAGGAATGTGAATACTGATTTCAAGATGATGTTAGATTTATTCACAACCATACCACAAAACGTACATCTGGATTAATTGGCGTAGGTTTATTAATGTGATTTCTAATTGTGTTAAATATTTGTTAATGTGATTTTGAGTTTAAATCTTAAATATTAATTATGTTAAGTACTTGTCAAGAGAATTTTGTTGTTTTTAATAATTTTATCTAACTGGTTCAAAGATACTTATGATTCATTGAACTTTTTCGAGCCACATATGTCCTCATAAAATTTCCAACTTGTCATTAACAAGCTTAATTAATTGTCAATTTTTTTTGTTAATAATTAATTTTAATTGAAAAATCTTATTGCAATCTTTAGTGAAATCTCTCTTAAAGTATATTTCTAAACCTGTGCTCAAACTATTTCAACATTTTAGAAATAGTAATTCATTCAATATTTTTTTTTTGTTGATAATTATACTATTGGTTGGAGGGAGATTGAGTTGAGTTCCATTCAAATTTAAAAAACTTGTTGATATTAATGAATGCTTATTTTATATAATTAAAATTTATAATAACTAAATATTTTAAATATATAAATTATATTACAATTAAAATTATAATAAATAAATATTTTAAATGTAAATTATATTTTAAATTTACAATGAATAATTTAAATTGTGATATATAGTATTGTTAATTATTGACATTTTAAGAAAAAATACATTAAAATTTAATTTAAAAATAAAGATGATATAGATAAAATAAAAAGAAGCTAATGTAAGAGAAAAGGTTTTTTGTGTAAGTTGCAAAAAGCAATGTATGATGTAGGATCTAGCCACTTTTATGTGAGAAAATTGCAATTTAAAAAATAAAGTGTCATAATAACTATTAATATTAAAAAATTAACAGTGAATATTATAATTAATTTTAAATTTTATTTTGTAAAATTTGATTTTATTACAAATTTTAATCATTGATTTTATATTAATAATTGTAAGTATATTTTATATTTTAAAATAAATTCCTTATTTTTGATGAGATAAATCTGTATAATGTATATTAAAAAGTAAAAGAAAAATCATAATGTCTAATTAAGGGAGTGAATTCACTCAAAATAATTAAATATTCTAACTTATAGTGTACAGATACATCACATTGTTAATTAATCATCATCCAACCACAGATTAACTAGCATCGATCATTTGTTTTATCTAGGTTATTGACCTCGAGAACTTGAGTCTTAGTGTGTATATATAATTATGTCAACTACTCATTCAAATTAGTAGATAATGAATGTTTTTATTTTGGTCAACTCAATCTCTCACCCTAATTTGTTTTACATATTGTCTTAAAATATTTGATTATTATAACTTTTAATAACAATAACAGCAGTCTTATTTCATAAGCTGATATTAACTACATGAATCTCAATGTTATTTCTAATAAAAAAGATTTCATGTTTGGTATATTTCGATAAAGTATACATTGATTAATTACGAAAGGCTAACACAACCCTCCTTCTTTGCAATAGGGTAGTTTATATGAAGCACAGACATATCGGACAAGACTGCAGAGATCTTTTCGCTGAGTAAATAAATTTTATATAAGCTAGCTGCACAATAGATGGTGTGAGAAATGAACCTTCGCTTTTCAACCTTTTGCTTCAATGTGCATGCACGATTTTGATCCACTTTGCAGCAAGAAAGACTCATTGTTTGTGTGGAACTTTGCGTAGTTGTTGTATGCAAAAATTAAGAATTAGTTCGATGATCCAAAATCTGAGATAGTTGTTGTCTTCAAAGATGACAAGAATCTGTAATCAGTGTGTAGAACCTAATTAATCCCACAATTTGTCATATGCATGCATACCAAGACAATAAACATGCACAAAAACAGAAAAAAAACAATTGAATGTGCAAGGAGACTCATTTGAGCCAATCTCTGCACGCGAGTAGAACCTTTACTAACTTATTTGAAAGTTCAAAAATACTTGAAAAACAATATGATGAAACTTAAATCTTTTGAAATGATATCATGTACGCAACAATTTGCGAAAATCCCTCGTCCATGCTTGATGCTTTAATCAAAGCATGAAGAGTGATGAAGACATTGCTTTGTTTTGTTTCAAAAGTTGACAGCAAAGCAACATCTGTGTGTGCATGTTTTGCTTTTTTCCCTTTACGTTGCGGGGTACTCGTGCATGTAATGATTTTATGCTCTTCAATTATCTACTCTTCAATTGCTTTTTAATCCATTCCAGATTTATTTCTATTTGTTTCAATAATAATGTTTATGTAAGATGATACAAGCTACATAATTATGAGATTTTGACTATCCCCGCCCCTAATTTTAATAGAGAATAAATAAGATTTTCCTATTCACAATATGTACAAGTATTAATATTCTAATATGCTAGGTTTAAAAACTTTCTATATGGATAGTTGATTAAAGTTAATTTGATAATATATATATATATATATAACAATTTACTAAAATGATTTTTTAGCATGAATATATAATACCAAATTGTAACTGCTTAGGAAGTTTCACTCTTAAAAAAGAAGAGTACACTTCCTACTGATGATTAACACGTCTTATACAAAGAAGGAAATAGAGGATTAAGAAACAGACGAACATTGGGCATATATTTTGAGTGACCAAACTAAATTCCACATTTTTTTATCTTTTGATATTGATAAAAATAATATTTAGTCAAAAATAATGATTAATTTTTACAAATATTTCCTCCCAACATAAAACTAAATCTCATATATATAACCCTGCAGTCAACTAAGTTGTTATTATAGTCTAATAGAATCGAACTCTCTTTTTTCTTCTTTTTGTCTTTTAATTAGTAAAATTACAAAGGACAACAAAATTTGAACAAGAATTATGCCACCTAATTAATTGAGTTAAATATAATATATATATATATATATATAAAACACAAAATTGTACAAAATCATTGTTTAATATATTGAGGTATAACAATCAAGATTTGGGAAGAAAAAAAAACTTAAATATAATAATTTATTTAAAAATAATTTGAGAGCATAAATACATGAGCTTTAGATTAATTAAAAAAAATAACTTGAAAAATAAAATTTAACATAAGTAAAAGTATAACCAGTTAGAATTTGACAATAAGAAAGAAAAAAAAATCAGGAACAAAATTTAAAAATGATTAACAATTCAAGAATTTTTAAATGAAATAAGTAATACAGAAATTACACGTCTTGAAAAAGTATAATAAAAATTGAAAAATGATGGAGTGTTGGTGAATTTATTTAGATAGAAGGCTAGTCCACTAATTCTAAATGGAGGGGCTGTGCATGCCTCCAAAATCGTGATAAGGAATCAATCATTTTTGATACATAAACCACGATATAGCAAGAGGAAGAGGAGGGAAGTGGGTCCCTCACAAACCGTTACATCATGCTGCAATTTTCCTTTCCTCCATTTCAAACATTTTTCTCTCCGACGGCCCCAGACACATAAATTCTTAACATCAGATCCTATGTGGGTAGCATCATTTCCTTTCTCATTTCCCACATCAACATAAACATTCTTCCATGTTTTAAGGGATTCCCCACCCTCCTCTCACATACATTGGTACCTTCCCCTCCTTGGAATTTGAGATCATCTACCTCCAATGTTTTGTGACAATTTGTGATGCTGCATTTTCCCATTTCAGGCCCAGATTGATCACATGCAGGCTGGTGCTTGAATTTGAGGGGTGCCCCTTTGAGATTTTAGCCTTTCTTTCCCTTGTTCATGTTAAAAATTGGATTTTTATGATTGGGTGGAAGGGAAAGAAGGCACAATTCTAAACCAAAATTGTTGAACTTTTTCAATGCGCTTCATCTAATTAATTGATTGGTATTGGAATTGTAAAAATGCCTGCGGTGTCTGCTGTTATTTCCCGCCAAGTTGTGCCTGCTTGTGGCAATCTTTGTTTCTTATGCCCTTCCATCAGGACAAGGTCAAGACAACCTGTCAAGAGGTATAAGAAGCTCATCTCTGACAATTTCCCACGTAACCAGGTCTGTTGTTTCTGTTTTTGGTTACTAAATTCACTTTTTCTTTTTTGCTCCATGTCTCTCTAATCATGCTATACTCTCATTACAAGAGCAGTTACTTGTCCAGCCCTTATATGTTTTTAAGTGCATGTTTGCTTCTACAATCCGTGTCAACAAATCGCGTTTTGTTTTCCCTTGTTATTGATGTCAAAATCCTGCTAGGCTTAGTTTAATGTTCAACTATGATAGTTAAGTAGGCCACTAAAGTCTTGAATTCGAGTCTTGTGGATAGAAAAAATGTAATTGGGAGAGAGAACTCACTAAACCAGGTTCTTCAACAAAAATTAATCATCCCATAAATACTTCATATTAATATTATGTTTATAAAAAAATGTTGGTCAATGAAGTTGAAGGCAAGCAATCATTTTCACTATGTAAACAAAGCAAGCATGATTTATTCTAATTGAAAGATCCATGGTTACATGATAGTGGCATTCAGCTTGATGCAACACATAGAATTAAACAAAGATACCTATGTCAATTTAATTGACTTATTTATTCCTTTTGTACCTGTATTTTTCTCACAAAATGGCTACTGTATTGATTTCTTTTTATTTTATTTATGAGTTGACAGGAGGAAGGGCCGAATGATAGGAAAATAGGAAAATTATGTGATTATGCTGCCAGAAATCCTTTACGTATCCCAAGGGTATGGAATCTTTAAACAAAGAGCCCTAATAAGTTCTGATGTATTGTATTCAGTGAATTATATAGTGTACACTGATTCTTGTATATGTTCACTTTTATGAAATTCTACAAAATGAAATGTATTTCTTGTATTATATGATAATTTACTAGAAAGAAAAGAAGCAAACTACAGAGCATGATCTTATGACAGCAAAAGAGGAAAAGGAAGGGGAAGTTAAAAATTCAGCTCAATATAGTTCTTCATTCGCTTTGCATACCTGACACTGAAAACTCCATAAAAGACTTGCGTGCTTAAATGCACATAGAACTATCCTATCTCCAAGAAAATTTACCAGCTGCAGCTGCTGACCAAAAATTCTAGAATTTTGTTATAACTAAATGCAGCACATGCTTGCAAAAGGAGCACAAGTATGCAGTACATTAACCTTCTTTCTCCTCTCTAAGGTTCTGTAACTGGTAGGAAAAAAAATATTTAAGCGTGGGAGATTAATTCCACTATATACCAAACATCCCAAACAACTTAGCCACATTTCAAATTCTTATAACACATATAATGACAGACATTTGGAGAAAAAGCCATGTGGCCTATGCAACTTCAGAAGATCATTAGTAATTTAGCATAAATTCTAATAGTTTTGCTGCCTAAACAAAAACATCAATCATGGTGGTAGCTTTCCAAAGTTTGTTGTTTGAGGAATTCCAGATGGCAGATGCTAAGAAGGATAACAAATTTACAATTGAAAAATCTCAGACTCTAGGTCTTTGTTTGCATATCAAGTGAAGATACCATTGAGATCAAATCAGGAGCTTCTTGGTCATTAAGATTTTTACTTTGAAGATTTAAATATTCAACCATTGGAGAGAGGTCACCCTAGAGCCCTATTAGAGAAATTTAAGCATCTATATGATGGGCAATTCTCTAACCTGTATTGTTCTAGATATGCTTCTTATTGTGAACTGACTTATGGTAATCATAATTCCCACTAAAAAAAGGACCTTGAAGGGAAATCACTAAAGTTATTTTTGTATCCTTCTTCAGCCGTATCCTTCTTTGATTTCTTTGAATAATGATTTTCATATCATTTTTGAATAACTAGAATATAGATTGGAGTGATTGTTTTTAGAAAGCTCAAGTTCTAAATGCCTAAAGGGTGTTCCTATGCTTACAAAAGTAATATAATTGATCAGATTGTGCAAGCCCTTGAGCAAAGGTGTTACAAGGAGCTACGAAATGAGAATTTCCATTCAACCAAAATCGTCATGTGCATTTACAAGAAACTTCTGTCTTCTTGTAATGAACAAATGTGAGTTCATATTTGTCTTATCTTTATGCTGGTATACAGATGGATTTATGCATGTCTGTTAGAATATCTTAGATATTTTTAGTTTATCAGGTGTATATGGTAGAATCAGTTAGGAGCAACCATATGCCATAATGTAGGATTGGATTTGTGTATAATTAGGTTTGAATCATTGTAATTGATACCAACACTTTTTCTCTAACAGATTGTTCTTAGAATTTCGAAGTGTGTCTAATGAATTTTTTTCCACTAATGGTGCCTGACGGCTGAATCATTGTGGTTTCTTCAAAGACTAGTTATATTAACTTGGACCCACCTTTCACCCCTCTCTCCTTCATTATTGAAAAGCTGGTTTTCTTCTTTCTTGTAACCAACCCTTTCAAAATTTTCACTTTCAGATGACACGGCAAATTATTTGAGGAGGTAAGGGAGTAGTATGGAATGTAACATGGGATGGGAAGGAGGTTGGTGCTTTTTTACTGATAGTTCAACTTCTTTACCGAAGTATTTTTGTGATGTGAGTGCTGAAAGAGTAGGAGGGTCAAAATAACTGTGTATTTGAATTATTTCCCTTGACATTTTCCAAAATATTTTACTGATCACGAAATACATTTAAAATAAAATAAAATAAATCATAAAAGTAGGTTGTAGGTGAATTTTCATCAGAACCTATTTCGTATCTAGCATAGCAACTCAACAGCTCAAATCTTCCAAAAACCTGAGATAGCCTCCAAAGTGGAAATCAAGCATTCTTCAATTTTTTTAGGTTTAAAATCACATATTATTGTTTACTTCTTTATCAGCTTTTATAGAATTATGCCCGCATTTTGGAAGATTACATTTCTTCCCTTGCTGAGATGTGTATAATACATAAATACTAAAAAATTTAACATACAATAGTTGAAAATTTCCCATTGAACATCTGATGGAACTGGTGATGAATGTCATTGTAAAGCATTTGCTTCTTAACTTTGTACTTTATCATTATTTATTATGAAGATTTAGATGAAAAATAAAGCATAATCACCATATTTTGTTACAATTCATTAATATGTAGTTCGAATCGGTTGATGTGAGGTTTATTTATTTGCTTTTCCTACTCGATTTGTTGATGCATGCAGCAATTATTGGCCAGATAATTGTAATTTCTAAGAGAAATTTAGTTTGTTCCTGCTAATGTTTTCTTTCTTTTTCTTTTTGATGGTAATAGCTGTTAACTTTACATACAGTTCTTTTTGTGATTTTTGCTTAATCTCCTGGAATTAAGAGATTTTAAAAGAAGTGGTGCATTATCATTTCTATGTTTGTTGACAGGCCACTATTTGCGAGTAGCTTGCTAAGTATTATTCACACGCTGCTGGATCAATCACGGCAGGATGAAATGAGAATTATAGGATGTCAAATTCTGTTTGATTTTGTAAATAATCAGGTTGGTTTCACTGTTTCTTCTACAGTTACAAGTTTTAAGTTCAGCGGATTAAAAATTATAATTCAAATTATTCAATTGCCATTTCTTGATACCCTTCTAATATTTGATTGGCAAAACATGAGCTTCAAATTTTTTAAATTTTGCAGACTGATGGAAGTTACCTGTTCAACTTAGAATCTGTTATCCCGAAGATCTGTCAATTAGCTCAAGAAACTGGAGATGATGAAAGGGCAAGAACTAGCCGTTCAACTGGTTTGAAAGCCCTTTCAGCAATGGTATTTGTTTTTATGATTTCACCATTGTTTTTAAAATTTAGATCACAAATTAGTCTTGCACAACGGCACGTTGCTTGTCAGTTTCTAGTTTGAAGAGTGATTAAAGGAAAACTATATTTAAGACATGGTAATGATTGTCAACATTGGAAATCAGCATTAATAAAAGAAAAATTGATTGTACTAAACCCAGAAGAAATAGATTAATAAAGCATCCTGAGTTAATTTTGATTAAGCACAAATAGACATTTAGGCATTTTTTGAGTATCCCCAACATTCATAATGTTGGAATCTTGTTGAGATCCTAATTGACTAGAGATATAACCAATATAGTCTTTAAGTTTTGGGTAGTCTTACCTTACAAGTTGATTTTGTGGGTTTGGATTAGGCCCTTAGCTCAAACTCTAAGATGGTAATTGGTATCAAAGTCTACTTTACATCTGTTATTAGGTTACCTGTATTTGTCTCCACTCTGGATGTATATTCTTAGGCATCTAATTGTTATTATTGGGTCAACTGCATTAATTCACACTCCAAATGTCCAATCTTGGGCGTGAGGGAGTTTGTTAAGATCACACATTGACTAGAGATATGACTAATGTAGTCCTTATAAAGTTTGGACAATTCTCACCTTACAAGTCAATTTTGTGAAGTTAAGTTAGATTGTAAACTCAAATTCTAAGATGATATCATACATATCAAAGCTTGTTCTAGATCTGTTATTGAGTCACATGTTTTTGCATACATCTAGATGTTTGTTCCTAGGCATGAGGTATTATTGTTATTAGGTTACTCACATTTGTCCATGCTCCAGATGTCTAATCTTGGGCATGAAGGGATGGATTATGATCCCACGTCTACTTGAGATAAGCCAATGTAGTCCTTATAAAGCTTAGGTGTTCTCACTTTACAAGGAGTTTATTTGGATAAATTTCTTCACAAACACTTTTAGGAGAAGAAAATGAAAAGAAAAATGAAATAAACATTTCTAAAAGTTGAAATTAGCTTATTTATAGATGAGTTAATTTGTAGAAGTTATCTTATATTAACTTCTTTGAAAGCTATTTTTTTAACTTACAGAAGTTAATTTTTTCTTATGGAAAAATTTATTTCATTTTCCTTTCTTATTTTCTTCGACTGAAGGTGATTATGGAGACATTTATCCAAACAGGTTTAAACTCATTTTGTGAGATTGAATTAGGCCCTAAGCCCAAATTCTAAGAATAATTAAATAAAAAGGAAAATATATTAAAATAAAATTAAGATGTTATGTCTGAGAACTTTGTTTGGATTGCATAAGCCTTATAAGGTCTACAATGATGTATCTCTAGTTGATGTGGGATCTCAACAATTTCTTGATTGCAATTCCTTTGGGTGAATGTGGGTAAAGCCACTTTTGTGACAAATGTCAAAATTGATGCACTAAAGGAAGCAAGTTTCTTACCCTATGTATATGTTGGTTGGCTATGCATTGGCGGTGACTGGAGAGCAAATGTCTGCAATTGTATTTCTGTGAATTAAATGATGGAGCTTAAAATTTGCCTATAAATAGTTTTTCCATCATTTAGTGAATTCTACCATTTTGTAGCATTCCGAAAAAATATATTCAGAGAGAAGATAATGCTCTCGAGTGATGTTGACTCAATGAGTATATTCTCCTATTTTAAAGAGATTGTAATTGACTTATCCTATTTTGTACTCTTGCCCATGGTTTTTTCCCTATCCATTGAGGGTTTTCCACATTAAATATTGTGTATCAGTTCCTTTTTTCTCAACTCTAATTTTAGTCGTGTGATACTATTCTGTCACTCTGATACCCAACACTTCGTTGGAAAGAATGGATGATGTTCCTTCAAATGATACCTTGAGAGTCAACTAGCATAATCTTCTGGTCCAAACTAACACTGAACTTGGGGCAATAGTTTATATCTCTCTGGTCATTATGTCTCTGAGCAAATATAGATTTTTTTGGGGCAATATTTTATCTCTCTGGTTGTTAATTGGCTAGATCATCTTAGGTCTCTGACATTTCTTTCTGCATAGTGACAAAAAGTAAAAAAAAGATACAATAAGCATCAATATCTTTTTTCTTTAGTTTTATCTAAAATTAAATGCTCTGATTGCCTTTTGGGCACCAACACTGCTCTTTCCATCTTGTTCATTTTCTATTTTTTTCTTCCAGCATTTTTGTCCATCTTTTTTGCAGTGGAGAAATTGCATTGCTGCTTTGTGACTTTCCAAATTCCAAATAATTTTATATTATCTTTCTATTTTATCTTCAATGATCCAATAATTTCTTGAACTTGACCTAATTTTAAGTGAATTCCAAAAATAAAGATTTTTTCCCCCATTTTTTTAATAATATTTATGGCCAATTAGCATGTTTATATATGGACCTGGGATAGACAATTGTTGGCACCTTAGTTCATTTTTTTTTACATTTATCATTTATCATTGAAAGTTCTTGCTTTTAATTGAAGGCTCTCTTTTTTCTTTTATCAAAAATCTTAGGTCTTATATTGTATTGTGTCTTAAAGTTATAATGATATATTAAATTCTATTTATTTTTCCATTCTGCTTCGAGATTGCATGCCTCTCAGTCCCTATGTGAAGATACTGGCATGAAATGGATTATTGATTTCTGTTGTATTTCCTGCTTGCTTAGTAACCTTACCTCCTTTCTTCAGTTTTAGTAGAATCTATATACATATCCTTTAGAATTAAATGAACTATTTTGCTCTGCAGGTTCTGTTTATGGGCGAACACTCTCACATATCAGTTGAATTTGATAATGTAATTGAATTTTTTTACTTCTTCAATCTTTTGTATTCTTGCATATGTTTCTCATACCTGCTGATGATGGCTCTTGTGCCTTTTCATTTTAGTGAGAATCTATATTTTTCTCCAAATTCTTAGTAGTTATTAAGATATGGTGTGTGACAGAATGAAAAGGTAATTGATAACATGAGGGTAGGGCTCAAAGAGATTTGATAATTAATAAATGAAAAATCTTTGAAAAATAGTACTTTTGCTTAGGAATTGAAAATGATACTTTTTATGGATATATATTAATGAATAGTAATTGAGATTATGAGGATAGATTTCAGAGAGATTTGATGCATGAACATATTTTCATAATTGTACCTTTGTCCAGGAATTGAAAATGACCTTTACTTTTTAGTATATACAGGTCATTTTGTTGAAAGTGTAATCCACTGCTCTGTCTAATTTGTACCATGCCCATAACTGTAGCTGTAGCCAGCTTATGTAAAATCTCATTTCATACGCATTCACTATAAAATTTTATAGGCTTAATTTGCTGCTAGAACTTGGTAATATCCCTTCAGTTAGCCAACATTTGACAAATTGAAAAGATTTTACACCGTAGAGCTATAAAAGAGTCAGGAAATTTTATCCCAATTTGCGTTATTTACACATTCTCACTTTAAAATATCATCAAATTATATGTACTGTTTCACTCCTTGCTTGATAAGTTTAGTGTGGCCACTGGCTTTTTCCTTATGAAAGTATCCTCATATATTATTAATATTGCCAATTGGTGTTAATAAAAAGAGTATTATATATGTTGTTTTATCTATAGTCAAAATTTCTCTATTTCATTATAGATTGTTTCTGCTGTCTTGGAAAACTATGAAGTTCCTAAGAAAAATTCAGCAAACCCTGATCAAGAGGAAAAAGGTGCTGAGAATATGTGGGACCAAGACTTGATGGCCAATGGGGGTCAAATCTCTCCTTTGCTGGATGTTAAAAGGAGAAACCCTTCCTGGAAGAGAACTGTTAATGATAAAGGCGAAATAATTGTAGCAATGTAATTATCAGCAGAAAATCTTTGAAATGGATTTTTGCTATCTTCTAATTATTCATCACTTTTATATTCCATAAATAAATGCAGGGAAGATGACATGAATCCCTCTTTTTGGTCTGGGGTTTGCCTTCATAATATGGCCAACTTAGCCAAGGAGGGGACTACCATACGTCGTGTAATGGAATCTTTATTCCGGTATTTTGATAATGGAAACTTATGGTCTATAGACCATGGCCTCGCCTTTTCCGTTTTAAAGGATATGCTATTTTTGATGGATGATTCTGGTACACTTGCTCTCTTATATAATCATAAAGTTCTCGTGTCATATAATCAATCTATTGTTAATTATCTTGCTCTTCTGTTTTCTCATTCATTTTCCCTCCATCTTGTTGCAGAGAAAAACACACATGTTTTGCTGTCAATGTTAATCAAGCATCTGGATCATAAAATTGTCCTTAAAGAACCTCACATGCAGCTTGACATTGTTGAGGTTACCACTTCACTTATCCAATATGCAAAGGTCCAACCTTCTATATCAATAGTTGGTGCAGTAAGTGACATGATGAGACATTTGCGGAAGTGCATACTTTGTTCCCTAGATGACTCAAATCTGGCCCCTGATGTAATCAATTGGAACAAGAATTACAAAAAAGTTGTGGATAAGTGCCTTGTACAGTTATCAAATAAGGTAAGTCACTTTTCAATCAAGTTTATACTTAAACTTAAAGAATAACTGAACCATCAATTATTTGAATGATTAATTTGTTTTGTTGTCTTTCAAATTTGGATAAAGCCATAAATGTGCAGCTGTCATTCAATATTAGATTTATCATAAAAGTAAAGGGAGAGATATAAACTTCTACTCATCAACAGGTTGGAGAAGCCGGTCCAATTCTTGATGTTATGGCCGTGATGTTGGAGAACATCTCAACTATCACATCAACATCTAGAACCACAGTCTATGCTGTCCATCGGAGTGCTCAAATTGTAGCCTCCTTAACAAATGTGTCCTATCAGAAAAAGGCAAGGAGTGGATGTTCCTGGTTTAGTTTTTCCTCTAAGGTTCACTACTTTGAGTTTTATGGATAAATTTGACACTTAAACCCTACTTTCCTCCTCAGGCATTCCCTGAGACCTTGTTTCATCAACTTCTCCTGGCTATGGTCCATCCAGATCATGAAACACGAGTGGTAGCTCACCGCATCTTTTCTGTCATTCTTCTACCATCCTCTGTTTTCCATGGTTCAAGATTGTCTGTTTCTGATCCCAAGGCATCGAGTGTTCCTCGAACTCTCTCAAGAGCAGTCTCTATTTTCTCTTCTTCAGCTGTCTTATTTGAGAAGCTAAGACTGGAGAAACGTTCTTCAAGTGAAAGATATAGTCAATATAACGGGGGAAATATTTCTGGAGAGATTGAACCAGTTAATAGCAATGTTGGGATCGTAAGCAAATTAAAGCCAACTTATAGTCGGGTGTCTAGCGTGAATAACCCTCCTCTACAATTAGAAGTGAAGGAAATTGCTGCAAACAAAGTTAATCAGAACTCGGTGAGTCTCACATTGATTAGTGATTAGTATCCACAGAGGATTTGATAATAGTCTTACAATACTGTATTCAACTTCCTGGAAATATAACAGTTAAATAATTACTGCTCACTCTTCAAATATTACTACTATATGGGGTGATATAAACCCCACTCTAATCACAAAGTGCCTTTTTTACTTTGTCTAGAGGTTGATGTTATCATGGTTAACAATACTGATCAGCTTCACTTATACACAGGGGGTTGCTCTCAGGCTAAGTAAGCTTCAGATAAATCGATTGTTATCGTCAATTTGGGCACAGTCTATGTCTCCAGGAAATATGCCTGCAAATTATGAAGCAATTGCTTATTCATACACTTTGATATTACTTGTTTCTAGAGCAAAGGTGATAACTGGATTCATGATTCTTGATTGTACTCTTCGTATATCATCTCAAGATAATTTTACTTGTTGAAGGAGTTCCTTCTCTTTTAATGATGCTATTTTCTTTTCATGATAATATAGGGTACCTGCAAAAGTTTTCATTAATTTTTTTTCTTGATGTTTGAGCATTTTTGATGTTTCAAATTCTTCATAACATGTGAAAAAGGGGCAAAAATAGGAAAAAAGGGAAAACAGGGACAAACAAATAATCACATGTAAGTCAATGAGACTAGGTTAATTGTAACTATGATATTGATTGTGCTTTTTAGTGCTGCTCTAGGGTTGCATAATGTTTTGTGGGTCGGTTATTATTGGTGATAAGGTCTGCTGTAGGAACTTTCTTAAGTTCCTCTTGTGCTCCACATCTTTGATGTAATATCATTTTATATTGTAACGCTATTCTATTCTTCTATTGTCTCAAAAAATGTCTACTGAACTCAATTCTGCTGCTAGAAATATTTATATTTCCCTAGCATTTGTAATGCTGTGATGACTTTTCATATAATACTTTTGAATGAATTATGGAACATTAATGTCCATGGTCTGACCTCGTTTTTTAAATTACCTGTGCTAGATATAATATGTTAGTATGCATTGTTCTGGGATCATACTGCTAATATGGAGAAATGTTTAATGCTGTCTACCATCTTTTCTTTTAATGAATGAGACTTCCTTTTCCTTTTAAATAATTTCCCAATATTACTTTGCCTTTGCAGAATTCTTTTCATGAGGTACTAGTTCGGAGTTTTCAGCTGGCTTTTTCTTTATGGAATATTTCTCTTAAGGAAGGTGAGCAATCACACAGTTAAGTTTGATTGTCTCTAGCAGAGAATCCGCTCAATACAGTCTGATACAGAATGAGACATGATTGGATTTTTCTTGAGTCCTTTAATAGTAGGCATTACTTATCCAACATATCCTATGTCGATATTGGACAACCCAACCATTCTTCTTTCTTCTTGCTCAAATCATTTGGACTATAGTACACAATCACACTTATAATTGACCATTTGCAGTTCAGAAGACCTTATTAGGCATTCTTCCTGCATATTGTATTAAGTGTTACTGTGCTTCTGAGGGACAATAGCCAATTGTTAGTACACTGCTTAAAGACTTGGAATTTGTAGTTTGTTGTGTAGGTTATTTGGAACTATTTAGGAAGTTTAAGGCCATATTTAGATGATATTCTTATAAATACTTATAAGAGAAGAAAATACGAATGTAAAATGAATTGAGCTTCTCATATAAGCTAAAATCAACTTATGTGTTTAACTTTTATATAAGTTCTTTTTCATTTAACTTCTCCAAAAGTTAAGGTGCATAAGTTGATTTTAGCTTATGAAGAAACTCAATGCATTTTATCTTCTTATTTTCTTCTCCTCTAAGTGCTTATGGAGAAATTTATCTAAATAAGGCCTAAATTTAGTATGTCCTTAAAAATTTGAGGATTTCTTGATAAATTTCTCAAGAAAGAGGGACAACAAGAGGCATTTTTTCTTTTTTTTTCCCCCTATAAAACACACCAAAAGGATGTGAATTGGATGGACATTTAGTTGAATGTGAAATACTAGATCGTGATTGATAAGAAGCAAGTAAATTTGATGAATCAGACAAGTTGTTTCCTAAATTGTTATTGTCAGAGGAGTCTTGCAAGATAAAATATGAAAAACATTGTTGAAAGCTATTTTTCTTTTTTTGGTGAATGAAGATAAAAAAGAAGAAACAGTGTTACTGTACAGAATTGATAGCCATTTTATTAGAAAACAAACACATTTCCATTGGGAGTGGGTGCAAAAGTGAGGCCAAGAAAAAAACTTACTTTGTTGTTGCAATGTCGGTCCTTTCAGCTCTTATTTCCGACTTTTTATTGCAGGGCCATTGCCTCCATCTCGTCGGAGATCACTCTTTACTCTGGCAACTTCAATGATTTTGTTTGCTTCAAAAGAATACAACTTTGACAGTCTTGTCCAGAGTGCCAAGGAAGTGCTTACAGAGAGAAAGGTGAGACACATATGGAGGTTTCCTGCATCGTGTGCCCTGTTATTTGGGAGCCATCACGGATGTGTCAAAACCATATCCGGTCATTTACAGGGACAATAAATGAAGAACACGATGAAATCAAATAATATTTTTTTCCGCTGTTTCATCCATATATATTTGATGTCTTAGTTCTCAAGAAAAAAATATATATGTATAATGAGAAATAGTTTAACTATAAAAAATCAAATAATATTTTTTTCCCTGTTTCATCCCTGCTTATGGGTTTTCTTCAAAGTAAAGCATCATATACCCCCTAATGTTTTCATATTCTGTATTCAGGTTGATCCCTACCTTCAGTTAATTGAAGATTACAAGTTGCAAGCTGTCAGCTTTGCACCTGATAATCTAACCATCAACTATGGTTCCAAAGAAGATGATGAGAGGGCCTTAGACACTCTTACAGACTTGTTGAGTTATATACACAAAACACGGGAACTATTTGCTTCTGAAATCATTAAGAGCTTGGAAATGTTTGCAAAAGTAAAGCTTTACTTCTGTGTTTTAGACTGTCAGCAGATAAAATAATCGCATTTGTAGACATTATGAACCTTTCATCTTCTATGCAGGCTGAATTATCATCAATAAGGGAACAGTTGCTAGAAGAATTTGCACCAGATGCTATGTGTGAACTTGGATCTCAATTGACTGTGAACATGGCCGCAAAGGTGTGTCAAATGGATTTCTGAATGACGCAATTTGTTTGGAACAAATAACCTTCTGTATGTTTCTTGTTTCTTTTGTTTATACTTCCAAATTATGACTGATATGGTTACTTTCACATTTTACAGGATGCTTCAATAAGTATTGATGATGACTTTATTTTTGAACCATTTGAAAGTCAAGTAATACATAATCGGGGTTTGTCCACAGAGGTCCCAAGCCTTCTGGGTGCTAATCAACTTTTAGAATTAGTATGTGATACATTTCGTGATCAGTTTCCTCGTACATTTTTGTGCCCTTTGGATTGTGTAAGTTCTTATATAAATTATTTAAAATTTGGCACCACACTTTGAGTGTAGATTTTGGATACATCTCATCCATCTGGGAGGATTTCTGTATCAAATGCATTTAATATGCCATACAAGGATATGGCCGACAAGTGTGAGGTTCTTTTGATGGAAAAGCAGAAGATGTCCAGATTGATGAGTACCCAACAGAAGCACGAATATTTAGTGGACTCCCCTTTACCTAATCATGGCAATGAATTGAAAAAAATAGATTCCACTTCCCATGTGGATTTTCCCAAGGTAATCCCTTTGAAAATTTCATTCTTCCATTAAATATTTCACAAATACATATTCACGTTTTGTATGCATATTTGCTTCTGATCCAGTGACAGCTGATTGTATTATTTAGATAAAAATGTATGGATGTAGAGTGGATGTTACAACCCACAGTTCAGTTCTAGCATTTATATGACTAGATATTTTTTTCCATCAGTTTTATGACATTATTATCTGCAGTCATGTTCAGTATGGTTCAGTTTTAAGTTTTCAATTCTTAAAAACGAAAATCAGTTTTCAGTTTTATAAATTTTAGTTTCAAAATTGTGGTTTTCAGTTTTCAAATTTTACACCAAATCTTGTATCCAAATTACATAAAATTATACTTTTTAAGCTCGTTTGGTGATAGGGCGCAAGAGAGGGGCAGGTGAGGTGGCAATTATGGAAACAATGTGCTTGCGGTGATGGAAATAGTGGTTGTAGCAGCTGGTATAGTGGTGGTAACAACTACAATAGTAATAGTGATAGTGATGTAACAATAGTGATAGCCGTAATAGTAACAACAACAATAATAATATTCATGATAATGATAACAACAATAATAATTATTACAATGTTGATTATTGTTGTGATGGTGCTTTTGATCGTGGTGGGGGGCGGGGGTTGTTGTGGTGGCACTGTGGCTACGATGGTGGTGATAATGATAGAGGCAATTGTTGTGTGTCTTCTAGGGAAAGGATGAATGGGTTAAATAATTTGTTTTTGCATCTAAAAAACAAAATGACTTCTTTTGGTTTTAAGAGTTTATGTAAAATTGGGTTACAAATCAATTAAACTTTATTTTAGCCAAACAAGTTAATTTTGAAATTTGCATTTGAAAACCAAAAACTGAAAACTCGCCATCACCCTCAATAGGCCCTACAATATACTAGTTTTGAATGGAGTAACTAATAAATTTATATAAGATGCAGGTGGGAAACTCACCCTTTGAAGAGAATACTTCTGTGGGTTTCTACAAACCAACTTCTGGCCCTCTTCCAATGCTGTGTGCAACTGAATATCAGAATCAGACTCACCCTTTCAAACTGCCAGCATCTAGCCCCTACGATAACTTTCTGAAAGCTGCTGGTTGCTGATCCCGTAGTTATGCTGGAATTACACACTCTATAAGGTAGTTAAAAAATCACGATGAAGTGAGTAGAGGATCGCAAGTTGAACTGGGGAAGGCTTCTAACATATTTGGATAAAAGTCTAAAAAGACTTTTAAGAGCTTTTCTATTGAAAATTACGTTTTATTTTTAGTAGAAAAGCTTTCAGAAGGTCTTCTAGACTGTATTCAAATAGGCTATAAGAATTATAACTTAACTAGTGCACAAGGCCAAGATATATCTCGAAATATTGGTGTTATTGTTGTGATCGTGATATGTTAAACTTTGGTGTTCGATTCTACATAATTTTCCTCACCCAACTGGTATGTAACGGCCGGGGAAAGGCTTCATACTATGCTACGCAGACCTTGTAAATTATAAAGTACTAAAATTTATTGGCTCTCTGTTTCCATACATATGTAGAAGCTGCATGTTATTTTGAGTGATAATGGTATAATATTTTTGCAAAAAAGAACTTTGAATCATTACGGATGGCAATTATTTATTTATTTATTTATTTTATCGTTTTGATATTGAACTGTGATTGTAGAATTATCTTTGACGGTATTGTGACTTTAAATAAGTTACAAGGTTAGACATCATAACTGTTTGATAAAAATTATGCTCAAAGAATTGTAGCCAAAAAAGTTGTGTTCATAGAATTGCAATGAAGATCGCTAACGTTGGTTGGAATAGAGAAAATTAACGCAATGTTTAATATTGCAGTAAAAGCTAATGGGAGTTGAGTAGGAAAGAAATCACATCACATAACCCTGTCCCAGAAAACACAAATTATGCATCATGAGAAATTGTGTAAGTTTTTTTGTTGCTAACCAAATGCATTGTAAAAATTATTTTTCAGTTACAAAAATTGTTAAGCTATGATCACAAATTGTTTTTCAATAATAAAAATTGTTATATAATACCAAAAGTTATTAACACAAATGTCATTTGTGTGTCTTAATCCTTGATTGAGACTCGATAATTAGCTCCTTGTCTGGATAATTAGCTCCTTGTCTTAGCCAGAGTCGTAACAAGAGATATTACTTTACCTTTAATATGAATTGATCAGGTGGGAGGAAGTTATACTTATACCTTCTAGTTAAAAAAAAATAAAAAAATTGTTATAGAATAGCTAGCCACTAATAAATAAACACTACATTGAATATCCAATTAATTCAAGTCAAGCTATGATCACTTTGGACTATGTTAAATGTTAAGACTTCATAAGATTTTAGTAAAAATGAATAAATAATATTTACCAGAGCTTAGTTTGACATTATAATTTTTTTTAGTGTAATTCTTTAGTTGTGGAGCTAAGCATGAAAATCTTCCACGATTTATGTTTCCTTGCATATGAATCTATAATATATAATAAATAATAAAGAGGATTGTCCTCTTTGACAGACATATTTTTTAGATAATTTTACTCTCAAATTTTTAAATAATAAAAATAATATTAAAAATTAATCATTCTTATACAAATAAAACTCAAATTTAAGATCTTTAAGTTTGAAAATCAAATACAATACCAATTGATCTATCAAAAATTAATAATTTTTAAATATTTTTATTAAATAAAATATACAGATACAAAGTATATAGATTCTACAAATAAAAAAAAAGGAAAAGACCTTACTTTTAAAAAATGGAGTTTCAAAGAATAACGAGGGACAGAAATCCGAAAGCCTCCTTCGCATTTCTCTGTTTTTTTGAAGTCCATTCATAAATAAAATTAATTTTGATTGAATTAATTCCAAACTGTTAATTAATTAGGAGTTGTCCAAATTAATCTCACTCGTAGATTTTATATTAGAACATGTGTCGCTATGAAGAAATTGTTTTAGGAGAAAGGAATCTATAATCAACAGGATTTTCGACAGAAATTAAATATTAACAAAATTAATAAATAATTAATTCATATAATAACACGATAATTATTACACATCAATTAAGAATATTGAATGTAATGGATCTTCTTGATCTTAATTGTAGAGAAAATTGTGGTGAAAGGTCTGCATGCCAAAATATTAGGCGAATTTTACGATGCTTCTACTTGAATTTGGTGCATAGATTCCCCCTTTATTTTTTTAATCCTTTTAATTTTTATTTTACTTTTTCTTTTTAATTCTAGTCCTCCTTATATTTCTGCTTCACCAATCACCATCCAATGATTTCATTAATTTATAGATTGTGGAGAAGTTCTAAAAAGAATTGTTTCTCAATTTATATTCAAACAAACTCCTAATAGTTTACGATTAAATCTATGAAATGTGAATTATTACAATGAGTCACAGATGCAGTGTATATTTGAGTTATCGATAGAAAATTAAGTTTAAATAAAATTAATGCAATAAAGAAAAGTAAAATAAAAAAAGGGGAATAAAAAAATATTATATTTTCCTCATAAATAATATACCTCTCAAAGGTTATAATGATAGTATACTAACTTTTTGTTTTTCCTATAATATAATAAGTTTTTTTTTCTTTTTTTTTGGTCAAAGGAGAAGAAAAAAAGGCAGAATAATGGGTATTGCAGAGTTGGGCCGAGTGGGCGAGGAAGCCCATATATTTGAATGGAATGCGGAAAACACAGTAGAAACGATTGTGGCTGTCTTAGTAGTGTTGCCTCTTCCATTTCGCTCTTTCGTTTCGACCAATAGATCTCAGTCTTCAGGTACGAACCCTAACCCTAGGGCTCTTCTCTAAGCTTTCTCGATTTCATCTATCCTAAGCTTTTCTCTCAAATATTTCATTATGTTGTTGTACGGCTTCCTCGCTGCTTAATCCTCTTGATTGGATCGATTCTATGAAAATCGAGTAGACTTCAACAATTTGTACCTTACGTAACTAATTATTTGTTCCTTCGACTTTTGTTTTTGGCTAATTGTTTAAGTCAAATAGTTTTGTGGTTAACCGCGTCTTGGGATTGTATCAATTTGGATCGATTCTGTGCAAGTTTGATTTCCTTTAAAATTGTCTTGAATTTCATCTAATCTTCTACACACTGTTGTTTGTGGCAATGTCTTACCTTCTCTGTTTATGCTATACCCCGTGATTCCCTATGAAGCTACGCTTTTGGATTATTGTGATGGATTTTACTGTGTGAATGTCTTGATTTTTATCATTGGTACCCTTTAGGTGGTGCCAACAGAAGCTTCTGATTTGTTTCCTTATGGATTGAACTGTACTTTCCTTATGTCTTGATTTTTATTGGCTGTTTTGGATGCTGGATGGGTTTAAAAATGTCGCCAAGTGCAACATAGGGTGTTTGTATCGACAATTGTCTGTTGAAGCATGGTATCTGCTTTGACTCCTCACATTTACTGTTTTTATTAATCTATTATGTTAATATATTATATGCTATATGTTTATGTTTGTTCTTGAGTAGGTTGGAATCTGGAATCTAATATCCTTGTGTCTCCGGTTGTTAGGATGTTTAGCATTTAGCCGCCAGGATTTTTCGTGGCAAACGGCTTTAGGAGTTTAGTGATGTTAACTTTACCACACTGGCCTTCATGGTTGGATGCTTTTAGTGCCTGTGCAATTTAGTGTGAAATGAACCTTAGTAATTTTCTTGTGTCCATACCCTTTGTTTATTTGGCTAGGAACATCTCTGTCTTTCATTTAGTCCTTTTCTTTCTCTTTTGAATTTTGACTGTTATTTATTCTTTTGTTTGTGTAGTTTAGTCTGTAATCATGTCAGCCAAGTATATCGTATCCGCAATTATTGGATCATTTGGAATTGCATGGGTATGTGATCATTATGTTTCAGACAAAAAGATATTTGGAGGTAAGTTGTGTTTTCCTCGGGAATCTGTTTACTTTGTGGCTGTTTCAGCAATATGTAACTGCTAACTTCTTTCTTCAGGTAGTACCCCTGGAACTATTACAAACACTGAGTGGGGGGAAGAGACTGACAAAAAGTTGCAGGCATGGCCACGAACTGCTGGTCCACCAGTGGTCATGAATCCCATAAGTCGCCAAAATTTCATTGTCAAATCTCGTTCTGATTAATAATTTTTTGTTTATTAATTTTGAGTTAAATGATGCACCTTGGTCATGGGATATGTTTCCATAAATGATGATCATGTTTGAGGTAAAACTCTTGCAGTTCAATTAGTGTTTGGATGTTATAACATGTGAATTTTACTTGTCTAAATAAAATGTTACTTGGCAATCATTGTTTGATTGATGCATATTCTTGTATTCAAATTCTCTGTTTAGTCTTTACTTTGGTATGAATGGGAGTGTGTGTTTGGACACATATCCAATACGTACATCCAACAATGAAATCATGTCCAAGATGTAAAAGCTACCGCAGGTAGCTTTGGTTTAGACATGGAAAATCATGACCAAATTGCGTGGCCAAACACACAGGGAATCAATGGCTAAAATTATGTTTAGCAAAGGTGTGCCGAAAATTATTATAAGCGGTTTATCTTGTGAGTCTTAATTTAAAGCAGTTGTATCTGCTACAATATTGGGTACTTTTAGGCAATGTTGTCTATTACGAGAATCCAACTTATTGTTATCTTCCTTTGCTGTAAAACTATAAGTTTTTGAATTTATTGTATCGATTTGTAGGTAAATTAAATGTTATTGAAGCTACTGTGAATTCATTGATACGTATTTAGGGTACAAATTTTATATAACATCACCTTATCAATGTAAATCAGAACCAAATAGTGCTTGATTGAATTTTTCAAGAGTTAATCACTTATACACTGTCAGTGTAAAGTTTTTTTACACTGGCAACCAATTAGATCTTTTAATTGTGTCATGTCAATATAAACACATTTACTTTTACCAGTGACATGACACAATTAAAAGATCTAATTGGTTACCAGTATAAAAAATTTTTACACTGGTAGTGTATAAGTGATTAATTCATTTTTCAATATGTAGGATTTGTTAGTTACAATCGATTGGTTTACATTATTTTCTCATTCTTAGTAGTAATTTGTGAGTCTGTCATCATTATTAAGGTGAGGGTTGTATGAGACATGTACTGCCCAGTTGTAAACCATCACGTAGAAAACTCATTTTTAATTTGCAAGGTTATGTGGAAAGAAAATTCACGTGTTTTGTTTGAAGCAGTCTTTTTTGCTGAGTTTAGAATTTAATTTTTTTGGGTGGTGACTAGAGAACATCCTTTGACGATTGTGTTAAGGTCACGTATGTGATCCTGACTAGCAAGTTTGTTTTTTAGGATTTGTTGTTAGATTTGAGTATTTACTGTAGTGTTTTGGGTTCTCTTCCTGTGTTAAGGAAAGACTCAAATATGCAAGGCCATTTAGTCTAATTGGAGAAGGTTTAGATTAGAGAAAGAGAGATTTATTATTTTGAGTGAGAGAAAAACTGTTCTCAGCAACAACAATGTTTTCGAAGGTTTTCATTTTCTTGTTTTTCATTTTTAAGTATTGGTCTGGGAGTTGCTTTAGCTGATTGTATGCATTGTTTGTGCACTTTGTTGGGAGCTTTTTTGTACCTTTATTGATCATAGTTAAACTGTTTTTTGTTTGGGTGACCTGCAGATTTTATCTTTGCATCAAAGAATTTTTCATGTTAAAAATCTGCGTCTTGTGCATTATGTGGTTTTTGTTTTTACTTTATTTTGTTGGTGCTACTCGTAAAATTTAGCAAGTTACAGGGATTTTATTTCTGCTGCTTGATAAAGATGAAAAAGTTTAATTAACTTGTATGTGTTTAATAAGAACATAGTTTACATTCGAGTTAAAACGAATGTGTTAAATGATAGCTAATTCATAATAATGTGAAGTGTTGAGAGTATTATGCAAGTCTCTTGTGATCATTTATGACCCATAATCTAAGGACATGTTTGGATTCACATTGAGAATTAATTGATTTCTAACTGAAACAACTTTGAATAGTTTGTGTTGGATAAAAAAATTTAAAACCCACTTTTACTACAAACTTGAAATATTGAAATATTATTTGTGATTTGGGGAATTAAAATATATTTTTTAAAATTACAAGAATTAAAAATATCAGCCATCAGTTTTAAACTTAAAAGTGAAAAAATATATTTAAGTCTCAAATTTATTTAAAATTAATTTTACAAATGCTTGCACAAACATGATTTTGGATAAATATTTAAATATTTAAAGTTAGGTTAACGAATTAAGTTTGAGTTGAAGTAAATTTAAGGTTTTTTATTTAGATTTGATTTTTTATACTAAATTTGATTACTAATTTAATTTAGAACAAAAATATTCAAATTCAAAATCAATTTTTAACAATAGCCAATGTCTTGGCTGTGAAAGCTGTTGAAAATAGCTTCAAAATGGATGTACATTGAAGGCTTTGTGGATGTGTAACAAAACATATTAAAATCAATTTTTCATCTAAATTTTGGAAACGCTCGTTTAATCACACATTTATAAGATAGTGTTGACGCTTAAATCAAGCTTCGTTGAAAATCGCAAGCACATATATATATATATATATATATATATAAAAGGAGACATGTCGAAAGAAGTTAACATTTTAAATAAATTTCCATACTTTTAACGATTAGTTTTTTATTTTCGGTTGAAAATACATTTTAAAAATTTGAAATAGAGGGAATATTTTAGAAATAGTTAGACAATGGTACGCAAAGTTTGGTCGAATAAAAGAATAAAAAAGAGAATGAAAGTAGGTAATAAGAGAACAAACAATGAACAGAATAAATAATGGGAGGAAAAACATTGTCTTACCTATAATCTCTTTTTCATTTTCATCATCAACCATTAATATTTGCAGAAGAATCAACAACAATAAAAGAACCAACAATTTGAAACACTGAAAAATAGGATCTACAATAGATGGTCGCATAGGAAAAAAAGCTAAAAGAATAATATATAAATATATATATATATATATATATATATATATATATTGGTCC